GTGACATTATTATTGGTATCCAGAGATTTGGCATGAAATCCTGCAACTTCTTCTTCTTCTTCTATATCTTAAGGGCCCACGATCAATTTATTGATCATTTTGGCTCCTATGCATGTAGATGGGATTTGCAATGTTTCTGTTACTGGTGGTGATGAGGAAATTATGCACTAGGGGTTTGAAGGACTTCTATATCTTAAGGGCCCACGATCAATTTATTGATCATTTTGGCTCCTATGCATGTAGATGGGATTTGCAATGTTTCTGTTACTGGTGGTGATGAGGAAATTATGCACTAGGGGTTTGAAGGCTTGAGGCAATAGACACAAATGTGTCTAGTGTTGTCGCCTCAACTGTTCCTTTTGAAAGATAAGTGTTTAAGTATTTAGCGGCCTCTGTTGGAAGCTTTACTCCATAAGGACAAAATTCCTTGGCTATATCTAGTTCATTAAACAGATCACATCAATTTACATCGGTATTTTCTTGATACCAGAACTTATTCTCCAAACCTTGACATGCTGCCTTAAGCTTATCTTTCTTTGTCTGGCAAATTTTAGGTCACGCACAAATCCCCTATGTGTAATTGAAACTTTTCAACCCTTCAAAACTATCTGATAAAGAATTTATAGCTCTGTCCAGTATTTACATGGAGCAAGGGATTAACGAATAAAATCTGGGTCATCTGCATTTGGAACCTCATCATTGCACTTATATTCTCTTTCTCCTTCTTATTCTTTTATTTCTAAAAATGCGCTCTGCATCTAATTCTGAAACTATTTTTTTTTTTGCTGACTCTAGTGCATTTCCAAATCCCTTTGCAAGGTAATCATTTAAATAATCAGTAACATTATTAAGTGAACATGCAGTAGATAGTTTAGCTGACAACATTTACTCTGCCTAAGATATCATAAAAGACATTTATTTATATTCACCACAAAAAAAACGAAAAAAAAATATTAAAATTTGTAATACAAGTGTTTATGCTTCATGTCGAACTACAAGATCAGGCGCAGAAATTTCTGAAAGTCCACAAAGAGCTTCTCGAATTCCCATAATTACATATTTAATGGCTTTGACAAATTAAGCAAATCTAAACTAATTGTAAGATTTTGATTTATGAATAGACTTGCTTAGTGAATAAATTACTACATTATTCCAAAGAGAGAAAATTAAATTACTTACTAAGTGTAATGTGGTACACCAAGCACGATTATAATCGATATGGTATTTATAATCTATTTATTAAATTAAACTTCGAAAATCGAGGGATCGCGCCGAGTTTATTCGCACAAGGGCGCTGAAATATGCACTGTTGTGTCACACTTAAAATTCGATTCCAAACTCCGGTGAGCGGCGAATTCGTAGTCGCTGTCTCTTCATCGACAGTTCTACAAAAGCCTATTCGTGCCACCACCAAAAGTCCAAAATCGCCGAAAAGAGGTCTTCCGATAAGCAATTCGCCGACAAACCTACCACCGCCACCTACGTCAAATCGAAGCCGCTGTCACCCGACGCGAGCGCCTCTGCAAAGAGAGGAACCCGATGCACCTAAAAAGGAAGCTTCTGGTATGTCTGCAGCAACGTTTACCGTCACTTCATGTGCTCGAACATATCATTTATTGCAATATGGCAGACAAAAATTTAGGCAATAACAAGTATTTTTCTTCCATGGCAGCCACATGCAATACTTGCAGTGGCGTAGCTAGAGGGGTGTCGGGTTGTGGACCACTCCGAGTTACACCATTTTAGGGGTGACCTCCTCATCCTCATGTCCCTTAGTCCTTGGACCATTGGGGCGCCACAGATGACATGTGAACCATCCTCCTCCATTCCTCTCTGTCTTCAACACTACGCACTGCATCGCCCAGTGTTAGTCCTGTCCACTCTTTGATATTATCCTCCCATCTTTTTCTTTGTCTTCCTCTTCTTCTCCCTCCTATTGTGGTGCCCTGCAATATTTCTTTGGCAAGCCCTTGTTTCCTTGTTACGTGGCCGTACTATTATAGTTTGCGTTTTTTCACAGTCACCAGTAGGTCATAGGTCATCGTACTCCCCAATTGCCTGGCAAACCCTTTCTTTCACTGTTTCATTGGAGATGTGGTCCCTATATCAGATGCCAAAAATGCTTCTAAAGCATCTCATCTCCATCGCCTTTATTTTACTTTTAAGATCGGCTGTTAATGTCCAGGATTCGCAGGCATTCAGGAAAATGGAAAGGACTAATGAGCGCATCAGCCTGATTTTGGTGCTGGGGGCTATATTTTTGTCATTCCATATTTTCTTGAGCTTCTTTAGTGCTGTTGTAGTCTGCGCAATCCTGGACATCAGTTTGGGCCTGTAGCCTTCTTCTGAGACTATTGCTGCCAGGTATTTGAAGCGGCAGACAGTCTCTAATCTTTCCTCCCCGACCTTAATTTCAGTGGTGATGCCTGCGGTATTATTTGTCATCAGTTTTGTCTTTTCGGCATTGATTAGCATGCCGTAGGACGACGAGGTCTTATCGGGACGCTTTACCAGGTTGGCTAGCTCTTCTTCGTTCCCAGCCAGTCCGTCTATGTCGTCCGCAAAGCGTAGGTTGGTGATTGTTCTGCCACCAATGCTGACTGCCCCTTCATGCTCTTCCAGAGATCTGACATAATTCTCTCTATGAAGATGTTGAATAGGGTGGGGGAGAGCAGGCAGCCTTGTTGTACTCCAACCGTGGTCTTGAACCATTATCCGATGTTATTGTTGAGGAAGACTGCACTGGTGGCCTTATCATAGAGTTTGCATATCATGCTGGTTAGGTTTGTGTTGATGTTGTAGTGCCTCATGGTGGCCCATAAAGCAGCATGCCAAACCCTGTCAAATGCTTTCTTGAAGTCAACAAAGACGTGGTATAGGTTTTGTTGGTGTTGAGCATATTTCTCACATAGTATTCGGAGGATTAGAATCTGCTCAGTAGTGCCCGTCCTTGTCTGAAGCCCGCCTGTTCTTCAGCAATGATTCTGTCGGCATATGGTTTTAGTCGGTTCAATATGATCTTCAGCATGACCTTGCTTGGATGGCTTATTAGACTAATGGTGTGATAGTTTTGGCATAGTTGTAGGTTACCTTTTTTGGGGAGGGTGACGATGAGCGATTGGGTCCATGTTTTGGGCCATTCTCCTGTAAACCAGATTTTGTTACACTCAATTGGAAAATTGCATATTTACGGAGCACACACTGCTCGGTCTAACCGAGATTCATAAAAGGATAACCGATCACACATACATTTTTCCCAAATTTAACCGATCGAAATGCGTGATTTATTAAAAGTTCAAGGTTGATGCGTCAAAAATGAGATGACCCAATGTTTAGGTCATACAAACACAGTCCTTATTCAACGCTGATTTAATTGTTTGCTAATTTCCGTAATTAAAAGGAAGCTAGATTTCTCTAAATCCCGAGAAATGAGGCTTTCCATTGATACTAAATACGATGTGGTGGTGCGATTCTAAGTACAAGAATCGAATCGTTAAAAATTAAAAACATACAAAATGCATTTTTACCCATTTCTAGAATTTAAAAAATATATATTATTTAATACAATTTTCAATCTTTTAATTATAAATTCTTATTTATTTAAATTTTTTTTTAAAATGTTTTTTTTATAAACATACATAATATTCAGTGGTGTAGCTAGGAGTGCTGGGGTTGTGGACCGCACTGGGTGACTCCATCCCGGGGGTGCTTTAAACCACTGCTTGGTTTAACCAAATTTCAAAAAAGGATATCCGAAGTGGTGGAAACTGAGCCCAAAATTACAAAATCATGAGGCATAAGTGGAAAACATAGGTAGCAGGACTTAAGCTACACACAAAAATTGATGCCGAAAGTATTGCTGTGATGGAGAGGTGAAGAAAATTGGATGGATATCCTGCACTTATCGATGGATATCACATTGTATCTTGCAAAGCAAAATCTGGCATTGCGTGGCCACAACAAAGATGAATCTTTTTTTAATAGATGAAACTTTCTTGAAACGGTTGAGATGCTATCTAAATATGACACAGTGCTAAAAGAGCACCAAATGAGACTAAAGAGGAGTACTATTACTATACATTAGAAGCATCCGAATATTACCTTTCAGCAGAAACCCAAAAATTAATGGCTAAATGTCCATGTAAATCATTAAAGGAGATTCTTATCATGGATATAAAGGCTGCGACGTATTTTGGAATTATGTTCCCCACTACACTGACCAGATCTCTGAACTCATCAGATATGTGATAAACCCCAGTGGGAAAGTTGAAGTGAGAGAAATGTTGGTTAAGATTGTTTCTGTTCGAGCGTTCCATTGAAAAGGCTCTTGTAAAAACAAACTAATATCAAATTTCGGTAGAGAGAAGATTAAGGTTTGTTCTTGTCATAGTTACAATGCGGAATTATTTCAACGTGAAGAAATTCATCGTGGAAGTTGGGGTGGGGGCTGACACCACGAGTTTACCGCACCGGGTGACACCAACCCTAGCTGCGCCACTGAATACTTGTTCATATTTTTCAAGATCGCTCATGGCGCCCTAAGCCCGTGGCGCCCCAGATAACTGCCTTGGGCCAGCCCTGCCTCATTTCTCCTACCCATGAAGTGACCATCAAACGCATTTGTGATATCATGTAACGCATGTACATTTAGATGCATATCGAAGTTTTAAATAATCAATTTCTCTGTTTCTATGCCGTAGTCTAGGGTGTGTAGAAATAGCGTTTGGGTATGCTTGTTTTATTTATTAATTTTAAATTCCGTTAACAGGAGACCATGGTTCTGTTCATTAATTAAATTGAAGCGCTATTATTCCTCCACCACGGCCTACCAGTGTTGCGAGTTGCGATGCACAAAGCTAATATTGTAAGACCCAGTATCACTCTTCATATTAATGTTAATTAAAAAAATTTGTCCTGCCCGTGTACGTATTTTTTATAATGACTGATCCCGCAAAGGTGTGCCTTTACTTCCGGGTTATCGATAAAAAAAATATTTTTTTCTCTCTTCCTGGCTAACGGTCTACCCTGAAATTATTGAATCGATTGTATGTAGCTATACTACAAAATGTAGCATATCTTTAGTTGTGGGGTTGGATGTAAGTATTAACAATAATAAATAAAATTGTTTTCGTTTTTTGAAGCAAGTGGCCAAAATATATTTTGTAATCGAAAGACTATTTAATTTTCTAGTGGTTTTGTTATGTGAAAGAGCCCACCGACAGCGCCCTCCCTTCGGGGAAAAATCGAGGTCAACATGCACAGAAGTGTAGAAGAGTAAAGAATGGATAGTGTAGTAGTTGTACTGTTTTGTAGTCACCTCCCGATTTTGCAAGATTTAAACGCCATGTTGCTAAAAGCGTTCTGGAAGATGTTGTAAATTACAGGCCTAATCATTGATTATTGATGATTGATTGAAGCCATCAAATCTCAGATTGTAGTGAAAATTCACAACAAAAAAGTAACCATGTCCACTCTCTCTAATTTAACTTTAGTCTCTTTTTAATAAAGACTTTCTTTCGTCTTTCTACTTGCCACCTGCATTTCTGTCTTGTGGATATGTGGATGGAGCTTTATTTTTTTTGTTTACACATGTAATATTTTTGCTCCATTGATCGTTTGCTCATTTTAAGTGGTCATCTGAAAGTTGGTGTTAATCATCTGTTAAATTTCACTATTGGTTGGGCTATACTATTCAATTCTATTTGCAAATGAGTTGTGTCAACATTGGCAAATTGCTTCTACTTTGTTCCCTGAAGGGTGGGTAGGCATGCTTTTAAGAAGGATTTGAATATAATTAAAACAAATTACATATTTATTTTGTCGATAATATAAAGATTAAAATTTGAATACTAAAAAGTAGCCAATAAAAAATATTTAAAAAACTTTCTCAGTCTATCAAAGATGAGTACCTCTTGTTAAAAAGGGATTTGGGGGTCTCCGCCGGAAACTTTTTATTGAAATATGTTTATTTTAACTATTTTGATACCTAGAAATCTTTTAAATTTACCTTCAACTTCAGTTCATTACACGTAGCGGTTAGCGGAATCAGAATTGGTTTCTTTGCAGTTACGTCTTATGGTATTCTTATAGTATTCATCATCATCATGTCCCTTAATCCTTGGACCGTTGGGGCGCCACAGATGACATGTGAACTATCCTCCATTCGTCTCTGTCCTCTGCACTATGCACAGCATCGCCTAGTTTTAGTCTCGTCCATTCTTTACTCTTTGATGTTATCTTCCCATCTTTTTCTTTGTCTTCCTCTTCTTCGCCCTCCTCTCGTTGTGCCCTGCATGATTTCTTTGGCGAGCCCTTGTTTCCTTGTCATGTGGCCATACCATTGTAGTTTGCGCTTTTTGCAATCACCAGGAGGTCATCGTACTGCCCAGTTGCCTGACGAATCCTTTCTTTCACTTGATCATTTCAAAAATTAATAAAAATAAAACATTTATGTTTTCATCTACATTAAATTCAAATTATTTTGGTTACATTGAGTGCTCATCAACACTTCTGCACAGTATTACTTTGCGTGTTGGATTTTAAGAAACTGTAAATTAATTTCTACTTCTAAGTGCATTTAAACTCATCTTTCATAGAAATTATTTTTTAAAAATTCTTTCAAATATTAAAGACTTCCTCTCTACAGGCATTCCAACTTGTTTGATGTTTGTAGTAATTTTTAGTTGACACATCTGATTGAGCGAGCGCTCAGGGTTCATAATCTGTCTTTAAGGTCTCATCTGAATTGTGTCAACATCATGTCTGTAGGATTTTGAGGATTTAAAAAACTCTATTGTGGACATTTTAAATAAAATAAATCTTCTTTTGTAGATATAATACTAAAAAAGAGGCGGAGCTTTATGCAAAAGGGATGACACATTAAAAGGAGAACATGGTTGACAAAAATTGCACTTTATAACTCTAAATTAGACGTTTTTAACATTATTCTTAAGGAAATAAAGTTAAAAAAAGGATGGGAAAACCTGAAAGAAGGATACACAACAAAACAACGAACATGTCGACAGGAAGCCTTTATCAGCGAACAAACAACATGAAAAACAGAATTAAATAAAAACAGCACTTAACTAAAAAGTTGTATCCGAGATGGCAGAAAAATAATTGTGACATAAAATAAGTAGGTGAGAGATTAAATACAGGCAAAAAGAGAAAGAAAAGAGAAGTAAGTCCATTGGGATTGGTGTGATGCGGAGGGGCAGAGCCAAGGATTCACAGGTGAATGAAAACATGACATGTCAAGGTGCTATAAGTCGGGATCAGCTTGTTTTCCAAATTTCACCTGGCTAGGTGTGTTTGTGTTGGTCACGATCCCACTAATTGTAAAATCCGCCATCCCCTTGTGGTCGATTCTATTGAAATTTTTAGAGAGGGGACACTGTTTATCTTGCATAATTATTATGGAGGTGTTCAGTACATCTTTCAGAGAATTTGTGTCCTGTCTCCCCTATGTACGACATCTGGCAACGGGTGCAAACAATGGTGTTAACAACGTTGAGGCTAGTTCAAAGGAAACTGTCCATTATCTGTTGAGTCTGGATGACAAAAGGACAAATATTGCAACGGCTTGGTCCCAAAGTGGGAGGGGGCGTTGATGCGATTTTTCACAAGGAGGTCTCGCAAATTTTTATGATGTCTGAAAACAATGAGAGGTGGGGAAGAGAAAATGGCTTGTGTCCCCGGATCTGCAAGGCGAACGGCACAGTTTTTAAGGAAAACACATTTGGGTATTATTTGTGAGAATGATATGTGAGAATAAGTTTGGTCCTGTCAACATTGTCACTCAGACACCATCACTGGTAATACTTGTAACCCTTTGAGGGGCTGATGAAAGTACTGTCTCTGCGTAGGACCAACATTGGAAATAGTCAATCATCACAAGTGCTTTGTCCCAAAGGTCATCAGTGGTGACCCCAATACCACCATCAATGTACCTTTTGTAGAATTCAGGGAGGCATACAGTGCAGTTGCTTTCGACCATGTGTTTGAAATGTCCCATGAACAAACATGCGTAGCTGGGTCCCATTTTATTCCCATAGCAACACCACTGATTTGTTCGAAGCATTGGCTCCAAACTCGAACAAATTGAGGGTGAGAACCAGTTCAGCAAATCGGAGGAGGGTGTTGGTGGGTAGAGCGAAGAGGCCATCAGTGTGGGGGATAGAAGTACTCATTGTGGCCTCAGTGCTTGCTTATTTTAAAGACACCCACAATGCTTTAAAAACTTTTGAATCAATCATCTTCCCTCCTGGAAAAAAAACATCATTCTGCTTGATTATGTTCTCTATATACATATGTCCCGTGTGTTGTTTTGTTACATTCATTTTTTCAGGTTTTCCCATACTTTGTTTCACAAATTACTTTTTTTACTAACTTGATTACAACTAAACTATAGAATTAGGGCTAACATGTACAGTGGGATAGAATTAAACATGGTTAACGGGTGGAGGGGGATGATCTAAGTAAATGTTCAAGGTCAGGGATTCTTAACCTTTTTGCAGGACTGTAAGTGTAACCCCCTCAATTTCAAAAAAATTATAGTAAAATTAGCATTTGCCGCTGTTTAAGAACCATTGTTCTTGGGAATTTTTTCTCTGACACAGGCACAGTTATTTGATATGAATGGGAGTTAATTTTTTAAGGGTTTGTAAAGGAGATAAGTAGACAAGGTGTTTTTTTTTTTTGGTGGGGGGGGGGGTGGTTTAGGGGGGTGTGATGTTATATTTGAGTGGGGGGGAACATTTTGTGACGATAAGGGATTAAGGGTTTGTAAAGGAGATAAGTAGACAAGGTGTTTTTTTTTTTGGTGGGGGGGGGGGGTTGTTTAGTGGGGTGTGATGTTATATTTGAGTGGGGGGTAACATTTTGTGACGATAAGGGCCAAAAATCAGCAAAATTGGCATGATTTCATTTATTGATGGCCTCTAATTTAGCCACTGATAAGCTTGTTTATTGCTTCTAGTTAGCCTATTTCAGTCTCCTTTACTAGCTACTTTAAACATCTGAGATGGGATAAGTGGGATGGCTGACTATGTCTTACACGACCACAGTATCTTATAGTATATATGTCACAGATATTCTCCAGGCTTATTTTCTGCTATTGTTCAAAAGATTTGAATTTTGACCCCTGTATAAATCTGAGTAATCTAATTTGTTACAAGTTTCTTTTGTCCCACAACACTTATTTTCCATATTTTTCTTAAAGTGGTGGGGAGCAGTCTCCTTTACACCTTAAGTGTCAAACTTATTGTTTAAACTCCACTCATTGGCCTACAACTAGTATTTTTTAGTTGCCAACTACATTTAAGGTAACATTTAAATAGAATAGCTACACTGGGTACAGATACTCAAAACCTTTTTTGGGTCTCTACATAGATTACCTACACCAATACAGTACTTTACAAAAATAAATCCCTTTAGAGGCCAACTTTAGGTGAAGTCACTCTATTGAGACTGTTGTGGACATTTTATATAACACCCCCCCCCACCCCACCATTGTCACAAATTATTAACAAGAATTAGACATTTATCAATTATTATCACAAATTTTGGGACCCCACCTTCCCCTCCCCCTTGATGCATAACACCATTTATGAGAATCACTTAAAGTGCACTACATGAAAAATGAATACCCAAAGTGATAAACATGAGGCTGATTATCTTTTTTAGAAGCCAATGTTAATTAGATATCTTTTTTTTTCATAGCATAAATCTTTCACTCTTTTATAATGTGTACTGATCTTTGTGCTTAGTGACCATGAGCTTTATTCTTCATGATATTGGCTGATGAATCGCTAACACCAAAGATTACCGTGTAAATTTATAAAAGATCAGCATTTTATATTTGAACATTTTAACTATGCTTTTTAAATGTTTATATTTACAGCGCACAGATCCAGAATGTTTCCTGAATTGGGAAAATAGAAGAGAGTGTGATAAGGTGTAGTTAACAGGATGTGGAGTAAAAAAAGCAGAACCCTCATTTTGGGTTCCTTTACATCATAATAAAATGCACTGTTCTTCAATAGCTCTTCACTTTAAAGATTAATTCTACTAGCCAATGATTCCTGATTGGCCATGTTTCGAAATGTTTTTAGTGGATGTGTTTCTGACCGTAGCTCACAGGCTGAGGTACTTCGTTCTCAAAAGTAAGTAAAGTTTGCTACATGTGAAAATGAGTAATGCCTACGTTTAGTTAAATGATAAATTGAATAAAAAGTGGGAAGGAAAATAATTATAAATATGTACCATATTTATATGCGTATAACACTCACTTTTTCTCCCTGTAAATAGGGGGCCAATGATGTGTGCGTGTTATACGCCAATATAATGTTTAGTTTTTTTCCTGAAATTTCCTTCTTAAATTGAGGTGCGTGTTATATGTCCATAAATACAGTAATTCTTTTTTAAAAATTTAAAATGCATTGTTACTTTTTGTAGAGGGTGTACGACTTAGTCATATTTATAGGGTTGTAGAATATAGCAAAAGTTGGGAAATCCTGAATTAAATAAAGCAAAATAGATCTATCTTTAAATAAAATATTATAAATATTTATTTTAACATAATTGTGGCTTTACATTTGCTTGTTTTTTTTCTATATTCATGTTAAGTTACCTGTTGATATCTTCAAACCACATAGCTGCATACTGACATTTTAAGACTAACCAAATACAAGTTACCTTTTTAGTTACTACGATACTTTTACATGTGCATTTTGTGAAAAAGAAAATTTTAGTAGATGTTAAATAATTTGAAGTTTTTATGTGTATTAGGACCTCAAGTTTTTTTGTGTTTTTTTAAATTTAAGCAATCAGCTTGAAAAGTCTAATTTTATTCTAGTTACATCTCCTGCAATTCCATGTTTTGACCACACAAAAAGAAAATTTAAAAAAAAAACATAAATTGGATCAGGTAAATTGAAGATCCTTCAAATTTTGATAGATTAAAATGTTGAAGTCAAATCTGGGTACCGGTACATTTTTACTAGGGTTGCATTGATATGGATTAGGCAGCTTACCAATTAATATGCCTCGCCAAATCAGCCACCAATTATTTATTATAGAATTATATACCTTGCTTTGAAAATGAGTAATCATAATCTGAAAATGGCATAGAACCTCATTTAGTCCAGGGGAAACTTCTTGTTGTAATTTCTCCTAATGGCAATCCCACAAAGAAAGTGAATTTATATCTTTATAATTACGACCCTGTTTAAGTAGCTTAATACACTTCTTTAGATTTTATCTTTAAAAAAAAATATGTTTATTTTTATTAAAAAATCTAGATTATTTGAATGCTGTTTTTAAGTCATGCATAAGTAATTTTAAGGTTAAATAAAAGCTTGTAAAACTAAAAAGAATCATAATAATTGTTTTAGTATGTATAGTAATTCAATATTTGACAGAAATATAACTCTTATTTATTTAGATAATAGACATTTTTATCAATCTCAAACCAATTTGTGGAGCTAAAAATTTGTGTGTTTCAAATAAAATAAAGCAAATGTCCTAACAGAGAGATACAGTTTGCCCTTATTGAATTTGATCGCAGCCTACTTTGCAGTTGAATCCAAGAATCTCATTTAATACAAATGCTTTCCTAAGTGAAATAGAACCTAGTAATCGGTACAGACTTAAGATAGATTAAAGGCTTATAGAATCTTTATTTATCTTTTTAGGCTCAAATTTGGAGCTTCGCTGTCCTCTGCCCTTAAGCATGGCTATTTACCAGGACCTCTTGTGGTAATTTAAATATATTTACTAAATGACAAAATTTTCTGTGATCAAATTAAAAATGCTAATATCTTGTATTTAATTGGTTATTATTGTCTGGCACCGAACCAATTAATAAAGTATATTAAGTTATATACTCAAATTAATAATTTGTATTTCTCTTACTAAATAAGACACATACTGCCCTCTATCCATAGGATATTTTGGTTCACATTGCTAAAGAAGGGGTCACTACTGCAGATGTTTTCCGCCGCCCAGGTAACCCAAATGACACAAGAAGGATTGTCAAACGATTAACAGAAGGAAAGCAAGTTATATATGCCAACTATAGTTTTTATACACTGGCCTCTGTAGTGAAGGTAAGTATTTAATAAATATAATCAAAGCTTAAGTTGGTGATTGGCTAATGGCAATAAATTCCCCTACAATATTTTAAGATATTCTGATCTATTCTGTCTTTATATTTTCAATTTAATAGTGAAATATATATATTTAAAAAAAAAATGTTTTTCAAAATATGTTAACAGACTCTTTTTTATTATTACATTGTGATAGTTCTGTTTGTAACTAAAGGTATACTTTGCTTGCCTAGAAATTTCTCTTAAAAACTCCGGGCGGTGTCTTCACACCTGAAGGGGAGGAAGAGCTACTACGTGTGCTTACTCTTGCACAGAAAATGGATCAAATAGAGGCAGTTCACAAGTAGGATGTGTATATGATAAGGACTACACTTAGAGTTCTAAGTTTATTGTTGGTGGAATCATGATGGGATTTTTAAGTGCTTGTTTAAAATAATACCATATTAATATTTGCACATTTTTTTAAGCTTAAATAATACATATTTTAAAAAATCTTAAAATGAATCAAAACTAAGCCTGCAGTTTTTTTTCCAGTCAAAATCTTTTGTCACATTTGAAGACCTAATTTTTAAAATCTGTTTCTTTTTCTCCTCAGCTTTATTGTTAAGCTATCTCCAGCTCATCAACAGCTTGTGGCCTTGCTGTTTGGTACCTGGTTTAGAATTGTAACCTTTCAAGAGAAGAATTGTATGTCAGTTGAGGCATTATCTCGGAGTGTCGCTGGCAGCATGTTTCATACCTGTGCAGAAGATCCAGCCAAGGTTTTTTTATTTATTATAAGAATTGTTTCTTGTTGTGAATGTAACAGTAATATCATTTTAGAGTTCTTAGTTAAGTAAATTTTAACTATCTTGTGACTAAAATAAATTGTGCTATAAGTCGAACTAATCTTGTTCATTCTTGAAATTTACTTTTTTAATTAATATAATATATTATAATATATAATAAATTATGCTTCAATTTAAGAAGTCATACAATCCTAATTTCTGTGAAAGCAGTGAAACAAATTCTTAATACATAGAGTAGCATTAAACTCAATTTGCAGTGAAACAAATTCTTAATACATAGAGTAGCATTAAACTCATTTTGCTTCCTAACATTATGTTTCATTTGTAAATCTTTGCATATATTAACTCATACACAAACAAATAATTTGTTTTAAGGTTGAGAAAGCAAGTCGCATCATGCAATTTTTGATAGACAATTTTGGGGTGGAACGAATGTTTGGCCAAGAAAACATCAGGTTCTTTGCAGAGACAACACATACAGGCATACATATACGTGAGCTTTTTCGCTACAGTTATCGATCTGATTCACAACTCATTCCACGTAAGTGTTAATGTTTGTTGAACTATTCATTGTTTTACATACTTAAAGATCTTGCATTTATTTTACATGCAGTAGTTCTCATCATTTTCACTTCACCTCTTCATCATTTTAAAATGTATCATTTAGGTTTTTTTACCTACATTTAACCAGAAAGCTTTTAAATTTGAATTATCAATGTTCTTATAATAGTGTAGATTTTCATAAGAATGGAAATGAAACGCTGCTTCAATGTTCTTTGTTTGCTTTGTCGGGGCATTATACAAAATCTGGTTTGATAACCATGAAAATATCTTTTTGACAATGACTAAATCAACTGTTAACTCTCCATGGAATTGATGTTGTCTTACTAGTTGCTATTTTGTCTGGATTTTTTTTGCTTGTTTCAACTTCCTGTGCCTCAGTGTTTTACCCTTTTGTGTGCTCTCCTGATCCTCCGTCACCATGTTGGCTTGGGCTGTACAACAACATATGTTCCCTGCAGGCAAGCAGGCAGCCCGTGTATTTGTTGCAATCATTGGTAAAGAAGCCTCCAAGTACGGTTTTGACTTAGTTCACAATGGTAAGGGGTGATCTCTTTTCATATTGTATGTACTAGGGCTTTTTATGCCTTGGTTAGATTGCTGCATAATCTATGATTATAGATTTGTAATAAGCTCCTGCTCATTATTATAATAGACAAAAGCTTTTTTTATTTTAAATTTGTATCAGGGTAAAAGTAAAATCATACAGATTTTATCCCTTTTAATGATTTTTTTAGCCTCTCAAAATAAATCCTTTCACGTTTACCCTGATATAAATTTATTATGGGATACGTTCTGGAAAAAAAAAAGAAATTTATTTTCGGACTGAAAAGAGCACAATGGGTTGGTGAACATCATTTCGGGTTTCATATCATTATTGGTTGTCATGGTTTGGCTAAAGTAAGCATGGATCGGATGACGTAACCCTGAATTGAGAGGAAAGAAATTATTCAGAGTAATCGTATACATTTTTATTTTAAAACTATATTATTGGGTCTGTTTTAATTAACTCTTCTTAACTTACTGGAATCGAGATTAGAAACAACGAACACGATTTGGAACCAACTCAACTTGGTAAAATTGGCGGCAGCCACGTGCAAACTACTCTTTTTTTACAAAAATTTAAACATAGCCCATAGGGCTGGCTTTTGAGAGGCTGCAAAAATTATTTAAAGGGATGATATACATGAGCTTTACTGTTATGAAAAGACAACTTAAGATTTTAGCAGATTTATGTACACTTTGATGTCCTATATAGAAACATAATTCCTTGCTACTATTATCTTTTCTGTTTAGCATAGCAAAGCTTCTTCATTTTATGAATGTTAAAATATTTCTTATTTACCTTTCTGTTGATGTACTTTTTGGTTGCAATCATAAGTTTAGTTATTCATTTTTATATAATGTATATAATGGATTATCCATAACTGATGATACTGATCAAAATTTATGTTTAACATGCGCAGTTCTATATTTTAAAACACACATCATTTAAAAAAATACTTATTTCAATTTTAATTGAACTTGTGCCTGTTTGCTTGTATGTGTATGATTTATAAAATTATGCATATTTTTATGGGGAAATGTCTGTAAATAGTAACTTAAGTTACTTTTTTCATAAATATCGACAAATTTTTACAATGTTAAATAGTAAATCTGTGGGAAATAACTCTAAAAAGTCAGATTTGAAAATATATCCCTCTCCTTCCCTTTCTCTCTATTTTTTTAAACATAGCAGTAAAGTATGAACATCAAAGATAGTTATGAACGTAGCAAAGAACTAATTGTTGAAAGAGTAGGTATAAATGGTCTTTTTTCAATAATGAGACAGGTGCTATTGGCGGCCCATGTAGAGAACTAATAAATACTAGTGCAAAGAGATAATTTTTTTGTCAGAAGTTAGATTAACCAAATGTATCAATACCTAACTAATATGTGGCTGACAACTAAAATAATGAAGCTGTTTGAAATTAATGTTATAACTAGTAGCTCAACTAATAGGTTGCCAGGGAAACTGGAAATTGAAATATCAAAAGTCTTGGACATTTGTCTGCAACTATTTGATATTTTCAATAATTCTCATTCTCCCAGTGTAATTAGTTTAATAAAGATAAAACATTTATTTCACTAAAGCATTAGTCCATTTCATATAATTGGTTAACCAGACCTGTTTACTCTTACAAATTTGGCGTGCAGTGTACGATTATGAGGTGTGTACAATATATATACTGTATGTTTATTTTTTTACTATTAAGATAATGCATTGAACGATTCTGTGATGATATTATACAATTTTAAGAGTTTTAGGGTAAACAGGTCTGGTTAACTTTTGTGGTCAGACGTTTTTTAGATCTTGATTAGTATTAATAATTAAATTTATGTACTTTTGGTTAAATGAGTAACAGTTAATTCACTTGAAAGTAATATTAAGGAATTTTTCTTGACAGCTTAATTAAAACATATTGCTCTCAAAACTAGTAACTCTCCTAAACATGCCCTGCCCTCTCTTATACATGCCCTGCCCTCTCTTATAGACTTTATATCAATGCTTCTGGCTATTTTCTTCATGTACATTATCTATAGTATCTATACTCATTGTGATTTTAGTATCATTTGAGGTATGCTAGTTATTTATGGTCCTTTTTACTCGCTCTAAAGCATTAATATTTTAATAGTTTGAAATGTCTACAATAAACTTATTTTTAATTCAATTCAAAGTTATTACTTAAAATATGTTTTGACAATAACTGTAAAATGAAAATCCAATAAAAGCAACACAAGTTAACTGGCAATCCTATTTGCTGCCTGCTTCCTTGCAATGACAATTTTAACATTTATTAATTGCAGCAGTTTAGACAATTTATATTATAACTAATTTTTACAGGGTTTACTTGCTAGTTGCTTATGCCTTTATATTTGCTGTGACATACCCACCTGCTTGCCTGTAATTTCAGTTAAGTTATAAAGATATCTAGTTCTGTATCATTTCACACCTCTTAGATTTACAACTACGCTATGGGGTTGTAAATTTGCTATGAATTAAGTAAATTCTTTTATATTATTTTTAAGCCCTTCAGACTTAAATGCTCATTTTAATTAGTTTAATTCATTGAACTAATGAGAAAACAATTTTTCAAATATTCGTGTGGTCGTTCCATTATATTTTGAATTCAATTTAGGTTATCTTCTGTTATAAATTGGTTTCCTAGAAATGAGCAAATTATCTAATGTGAGAATTTTTCACACTAAATTTTAATTTTAAAAAGGTCTGTTTTGTTTTTACTAATTACAAACATATCAAAAGATTATTTTTGACCCAAAAAATTTCATTTTGTTTAATTTTGTATTTAATAATACAGCTACATTATCTATTATTTTGTATGCTTAACACATTAACTCATTAATCTGTATTTGTTGGAGTTTGTTAATTAAATTTGAATTCATATGTACCTTGACCCTAAATATAACAGTACGATGCACATGTAAACTTATGTTAATATTGGGCATCTTACATTTGGCATACGAGATGAGTCCATTTTATAACTCTGGTAACTGATATCTATTCAAATATTTAAAATAGTAGCTAGGCAATTGTTGAGAGATCGAGCAATTTTTTAATTATTTAAAAACAAATATCAGATCAGTCTAACATGATTAACAACTTCGCCCAATTCTTAATGATTAATGAATTTTGCAATTTCTTTCTTTGGATTATGTGCATCATATATTAATAAAGTTGAAATATAAAAACGTAGAAGTGAGCAAATGGGTGTGGCAAACATAATCTGCACAGTGGCTGTCAAAGAACAGAAAGTTATTGAACTTTTGTTAACAATAGCAAGATGTCAAGTAGGAAAACATTAAATAAAGGGGCTGCAAATAAATTAAAAATATTTTAGTATGAAAGAGGATATTAACTTTTTGTTAAAAAAAATAAATTTCTCCTAATAGCCACTGTTCCTGATTTCATCGAAGTTACCAGGATGGATAAAGAAGATGATGATGAAAATGAAGACTGTGGTTTGGGAAGGGAGAGGGAACTGAGTGAAAGTCCACAGCAATCTCCCACCGTAATGAGGCATTCTGATATGTCAAGGGATACTGATGACCCAGATGATTCTCAGCTAATGATCAATGTGTCTACACTATCTGCACCCGAAGTGTCATTAGTTCCTTCCCCTGAGGTATCTAAGGTAAGAGTAAAAATCGATTTTTTCCTTTTTAATAAAAGGAATATAGCTGAAAAAACATGGCTTTGAGAAAAATGTGTTACAGCATTTTAATATTTAATGGTAGAAGAAGTACATTTGCTTTTAAAATTTGAATGACTGTTAAATTAGTAAATAATTAATGGAAAATTATAAGAATTGCAATCAAACTAGAAAAATTTTTTTTAAAAGGCATGAGGTTTCAAAAACTTTCATGTGAAAGAAATGTCGGAATTCTTTTTAATCAAGTGAAGAAAGTATATACAAAGGTAGGGCTCTCAGAATAGCATCGGTCAGTGGAATAAATTGGGACACAAGAATGTAGACAAATACATTGTGATGGGTTCCACGCATGTACTTCATGTAGAATTTTGGGAGACACCCTGTGTATTTTATTTCCAGTATATACTAAGAGTGACACATGGGTGTCATATTAGGATATGTCTCTACCATTAGTGTGGTGCCAAGGATTAAAAATAAGTTTCTATATAGTATTTGAAAGATTTGAGCTATCTTTATGTGGGGTGGATATGTAAATATTTACAATGAAAATCTCTTTTTCTATTTCCAGCGGCCCAAATCTTTAGAAGACAATTTAAATGAAGTAAGATCTCATTACCAAAGTCGGTGCCTGAGTAGATTCAACTCTGTTAAACGCAAGCAGCTGGAGAGGCTTCGACAAAGGTCAGATTGGTTCCTTAGTCCAACAGTAAGAGAACGCAACAATAGTCGTAAGGGCAAAGGTGAAGGCAGTCTCAGCTTGTTTGCCAGTAACATGAGCAGCAGCGGCAATCAACATCGTGGTAACGGTAACAACAGTGGAAAAAATAATAGCAACAATAACAACCACCCTAATGGCAGCAGTAAAGTCCTGCAACAAAAAAACTCAGGGAACTCTGTGGTAACTAAAGCATCATCAGAAGGGGCCGTCTTGGAAGCGTTTTCTGATGGTGACAGTGTTTTTACAGACAATACCAGTCGTAGTGAATCCCCAGCTTCAGAACCTGTGTGGTCTCATATACTTAAAGTCCATTCTCGTGATATCATTCATAGTGACACTATTGCTGAGCTTGCCCCCCCTGAGATGAGCTTGTACGGAGGAAGCTCAGGTGCAGATTTAAGTTTAGATTCTCATGATAATTTCAGTGGACATCACGTAGGATTATCACCTACTTCAGTAAGAAGTCGGTTTGAAGATGGAGAGAGGGAGCGGGGTTATGAGGAGGAAGATGATGATGAGGATAACACAACTCCAACAGGGATTCAAGAAGAAGAAGACACAACACTCATGACATCATCGCTACCAGACCTTCAGCAGCATGGTGTCTCAGAAGAAAGTGAATTCCACAACAGAGACCTAGAAAAAGAATTGCCTGTTGAGTCAAATGAAGGTGTTGGTGATGCCGTGATGAAAAGCAGCAGTTATGGAGGTAGCTTCAAAACCACTGGTGCTGAAGTTATGAAGGTGCAGGCAGACGAGAAAGAAGATTTTACAAATGGGCAGCAAACTTCTTCAGATATGTCACAGAGAGAAGAAGAGAAATCTATTGAGGCAAAACTTGGTGGCGAGCAAATTCGGACATCAGAAAGCTTGGAAGAAGATGATTCTGAACTGGTGCAGTGTTTTTTAGTTGAGCATACTTATGGGGACAAAACCACAGATTCCTAGCAGTAATCTATTTGCAAAGTCAATTCAGAGCTTGAAGTGATTTCTTAATTTTTGTTTAGCCTGCTTGTATAATTTTTACAAATGACTTTAGAAAACATTGGTTGCTAAAAAAGATATGCTGTAACTAAAATCTTGCTTATTTTTTAAAATAGATAATAAAGTATTCATTAATTTTTAATGGGACTTTTTATAAAGGTATATTACATAATTTCCACTATTGTAAAAAAAAGAAATGAAATTTCTAAAATTCTCAATGTAATTTTTTTCCCTTTTATAAATGGAGCTTTCTCGATGAGTAATGTTCAGTTTCGTTTCATTTCACCATTTGTCTGATTAATTTGTTTAACATTGTGGTCCATAGAAAAATCTCACTGAAACTTTAAATCTTTGCTGTCATCATTACTTTGTGAAAAAGGGAAAGTAGATGTGCTTCTATTGATGCTGCAATGTTGTTAATGTGCTCAAAATATTTTGTTACATCTAATTAAGTTTCAAATATGCAATTGCAAGCTATATTAATTTTTGTTAATTTTCTTATTTGATTTTTAGCACTTGAACATTGCAAATTAATACAAAATTGTCAAGCCCTGTTCCTTGTGTTTATGTTATAGCTTCAAAAGAAAAGAAATGCATTGCAAAACTAAAATATTTGAAATGATGTTTTAAGGAGACCAAGATTGCTCAGTGCAGGCATATTCCATGCTTTAATCATCTTGGGTTCCAAGGGCAAAAACAAAATTAGAATATAAATAATTCAAATCAAGGCTGTATTTTTGTTCATACGTCTAAAAATGCCTGAAACATTCAACAGTGCAAAGTAAAGCATTGTTAAAGTCGTTTTTTTCAGGGGTTTTTTTTGAAAGTCAAATGGAACTACCTAATTTTCATAAAGTATATATCGTTTATTTGAACTGATTAGAAAACCTGGCATATTTAAGTCTAGCTGTAGCTAAGCCATGAAGGAGACTGGCATTGCTCCCTAAGTTTATCTTTAATAATTGTATTTTCAATAAATGCCATTTAAAGTAAGAGCTTTACTTATTAATTTTTTGAAAAAGGCCATTAAACCTTTCCATTTGCATGGCATCATGCAGCTAAGCATCTAACTCTGAAAGGCAAGTGGCATAAGTCTGGTATGGTGTTTGTGGAGAGTGACAAAGTTGGAATGGGCCTATACCCAAGATTTATGGAAACAGGAAGTATCTTCATGTATGAACTAGTAGGTTCACAGTGGATGTGCACACAGTCAAAGAATTTTTGTCAAGAAACTGAGGACTTTCATTCCAAATAGATATTTCTTTGAATTTTAAAATCTTTATTTTAGTCATTGAGTTACATATTTTATTATATTTTATGAATGTATGTAATTTATATAAATATTTATATATATATTTAAATTTGATAAAACTAGCTAAACAACTTAAATCGATGCCTAATTATAAATAACATGCTTGATAAGATTCAGTGGTGTGAAGTCAAGTGTTATGTTTTAGTCTCATTACTTGGCAGTTATATTGTAAAAAAAATTCCTAGTTACAAATAATAATTTAAAAAACCTATTTTTAATTTTAAGTTATTTAGTTTAATGGCATTTAAAATTGAATAGTGACTTCCTAAAATATCTCTTGTATAATTTAATCGGGACTTTCTGAAACATCCCTTGTTAATTATATCTGATAACAAATAAAATCTTTACGGTATAATATCCTTGCTAGAAACCTTACAGAAAGGTGACTAAATTTTTTTCTCCCTTGTTTAGGTCAGCCGATTATAGAAATGAAATCCTCATAAATTATTAAGTTAATATGGTTATGATTTTCAAATATCTGAATTCTAAAGGAACTGATAAAACTCTTAAAATTTCTTTTATATGTGGGTAAATAAGAATGTATTTAGAAATTGATTGTTTCCCCTTAATCTATTGTTTATTTGTGTGTCAGAACATAAGACCTTCACAGTCACATTTTATACCGGATAAGATAATGTAAAACAAAATCATGCAATTCAATTGGCTCCGATTATTTAACTGTGCTGAACAAGTTTTTTTTCTTCCTGTGTCTTAGTAGATGTTACACAAATGAGTATCATTGATGGTTTTGCCAAATGTTTGATGTGAAACAGATACAACACTGAACTTTAATCAGGTGCCTTTATATTGCAAACATTCTTGGTGCCATTGAACTTTTCATTATTGTTACATTGAACCCATCAGTAGGAAACGTGCAGTACTTCTTCCCCAAGCATCTCTTTTGTTAACATTTACTTGGTAAAATGGAGATAAAAATTCATATCAAAATGAATATGTAAAATTGAAGAAACATAGTTATTTGTGCAAATAGGTAGCATCTGTAAGTTGAGTTGTATAAACTCAAGTTTAATCACTAATTTTGCTTGCTGTGAGACTGTTGTAAGTGGATTTTCTCCCCTTTCTTTGATACACTTTTGTAAAATAAATTTCTGTTATAATTATAATTATGTGCTTATAAAAAAAACCTGGCTAAAGTCACACATATTCAAAGAAATTTCTTCAACTCTTGTGATCTTTTGTTTTACTGGTTACTTAATATATAATATTCAGTGTGTAATTTTTATTTGGATTTTAATTATACTGATTGGGAATATCACTGTTAGAACACATTTCTGCCATAGATAAAAATAAAGATTCCCCCCCCCCCCTGTAAAAAGTTTGAAATTTAAATAGTAATATGAACTTGAATACCATTAGTGGCTGTCATGGTCATGTAATTTTGGATTGTGCTTTTGTTTAAAATTCTCAATGCTTGTTGGTGATTGTTTTATTAAGACATTTTTTAAAATTGATTATTGCAACATGAATGCGAATGCTGCGTGTTAAGCTGAAGATAAACAAATGATATATTTGGGATTGATGATGATTTTCTGCTTTTTTTTAAATTGCAACAATGAGCATAAAAGCAAAAAAAGAAATATATTTAAAAAAAATACTTTGATATTTTGTTTGTAATGAAAAAAATATTCTGTGAGCCAAAATATTAATTACAATGTGGATATCTTTAAAAACATTTTTTTTAAATATTTTTTTTATTTTTCATTTAATGGCACATGTGATAACAGGATTGTTTTTCACTCTATAAATTCCCCTCAAATTTTATGCTTTTGTTTTAGGGGGTTTTGTGAGTGAACTTTGCTAATCTGTGCCTTGAGAATTGGAATAAATAGGTGACACCTGCAAATGGCCCAGTAAAAACTATGTGATAGATAATGCAATGTGGCTCAATTGTTACACAGATACTTTTAACAGAATTGAATAAAATGTTAATCTTGTGTCCACTTGTATAGTGGAGCCATCTTAAAAGTATTTACTTTTATAGTATGTCTCTAAATGGAGAATTATTTCAAGCCCAATTGCTGGTAGTTTATTTTCTAATTCTAAGCATCCAGTCATGTTTTGTATTTGTATAAGTAACCAGTCAGCTTTAACAAACATTGATACTTAATTTAGATAACTGCTATTTTTATATATAGGATGAACTTACTCAAAGGTGTGTGCATTTTATGATTTTTATTTTAACCCTTTACAGTCCGATGCGGCCAAAGTAAGCCGATTTTTTTCTTAAGCCTACTGTCCATTGCAGCCAAACCCACCCGTTTTGAGGTTGTTTACTTTCGTTCTTAGCACAGCGGAAATCCATTGCGCATTACTATTTATAGCTCTACCAGAAGAAAGCCTCGTTGTCTGCATTTATTTTGATACTAGTTTGAACGCAGGGTGTTTAGGGGCTCATTTTCTATGATTTTTTTTTAAAAGTTGTGATTTTTTTCACTGTAAAAAATGGCTTTCCAAGCCTTGGATAAAATTTTGAAAGAAATTTGGCCTATTGAAGCTTCACTATTTCATAAATCTAGCATCGATAGTGAAGAATCTGATATAGACATTAATTTAAATGACGCTACCAATAATAGTGATTCAAGTGAAAAAATAATAGTAATAGTAGAGACATCGATGACAACGGGCCTATCAATTCCACTCAAACTGATCAGCAAGATCATAAGTGGTCTGGGAATTTTTCACAAATCAAAGTGGGAGGGTCCCCAAAACTGTTTTAGGTGCAACTTTTGCTTAAATCATTTATTTGTGTTTAGGTATTTTTTATTTTCTTGCTCCTAGTTTATTTCTGAAAATTAATTAGATAAAGAACCTTCATCTAAAATGGAGTTTTGTCCCTTTGCTTGGTCACTGGGAGTAGAAAAGGCTGAACACTGAATAGGCCTGGACTGTAAAGGGTTACGAAAAGTATAGTAATTTGGAATAATTAGTTAAAATGGCAGCCATTGAGGCAGCTGGCCCTTTTCAATGTAATCTCTCATAATTTTTTATACAAAAGCACCTTGTATTGTCAGTTGACATTTACCTTAAACTGTTATTTCTATAATAAATGCATTTGTAAATTAGTTACATTGAACATCAAAGATACATAATACTTATTTAATACAAATAAGCTGAAAAACATTGCTTTGAGAAAAATGTGTTACAGCATTTTAATATTTAATGGTAATGAAGCACATTTGCTTTTTAAATTTGAATGATTTTAATTAGTAAATATTTAATGGAAAATTGCAATCAAGCTAGTAAAATTTGTTTAAAAAACAGGTTTCAAAAAGATAAAATAAAATTCTTAATATGAGGTAATAGGATTTTTTCATCCTTAACAAAAAAAGAAACCACATTTGAAATATTGATATCACTGGATAAAATAATGATGCAAATGATTGAGTCTTCAATTGAAATTTTTTGTTTTTTTTCTATGTTGTTTGAATGTTTTTGATGATAGTTTTATTGTTAAATTAGTGCCCCATCCCTCTCACAAATGCTGTAATCAGTCTGCTGTTGTGTTGCTTTCCATGAAGCTTTCCCTCCACTTGTCCCTTCGCCCAGTTTGATTTTTTAAAACATAACTTTGAATAAACCACTTCACGTAATTTAAGCAAGCTTTTGATTTGCACTCTCATTTAATTATTTTTGCACCAATAATTCTATTTTTTATTTTATGTCTATTAGATGTTTTTACTGTTAACAGGGAAGGACTAAAAGACGTGAATTTTTTTATGGATCAATTTTAAATATAACTTCATGTACAGGAGAAGTAACTAAAATGTAGTTTTTTAAAAATTAGTACAGAGATTAATCACACTTCATTAAACAGCAAGTAATCTTACTCATGCACATAACTCATA